GTAATTGACTATAGATATAGCAGCTATTTGCGGTTATTCTGTAGCATAAAACATGTCCGATCCAGGGGCAGATCCAGCGACACATTTCAGGGGAGGGGGGGGGGTTGCTTGAATTACCGCCAGAAATAGGAGCGTGGTCATTACTTTTTTTTACTAGCACAAAATTTCTGTAATGGCATAAATACTGTTAATGTGTGTTCACAGTGGTCCACCTCATTTGTCCTAACTGGAAGTAGCAGGTGCGTGGCAAGAACTGAAGGGAAGGGGAGGGGCTGCTGACAATCTTTGGGGAGGGGGTGATTACCCCTACCGCCCCCCCCCCCTCTGGATCCGCTATCTCAATGTAGACGACGTCCACGCTCGCTGCGTGCCGTTCTGGTGCTCGCATGGCATCATTTGGGCCTGTAAGGACGGGTGACGTTTGTAATACCCCTGTCACATGGGCACCCGTGAAGACCGTTTAACTCCCTTGTCTTTACGACAACGAAGATGCGGTTGGTGTCACACGGCCACCCTTACGCAAACGAAGGTGAACTGAGCATTTCGCAAAGGACGTTCAACGATCTCCCTTCGCAGCGAAACGAGGTACTCTCGTCCTCAGTAGTCTAAAGGTCAGAGAAAAATTTCGAGCACTAAGTGGCCGCAGTGAAAGAATAATACATTTTAGCAATATTAAACGTTATTTCGTTGTAGAACTCATTCACAACGCGTGTTTGTTTACAATATTTATGCCCGCCAAAGTTCACTTACTCTCAACACCGATGCCCTACACACCGTGCCTCGCGAGTCAGGCCGGCCGGCGCCAGCCGATCAACGTCATTACCAGCGCAATATCGCCCCAGTTTTTCACGTCATCTGCTGTGTCACTCATGGCTGAAGAACACAAAATGTGCGCTCACGAGGCAAGGAAGCATAAGAACTTTCGTACCGGGCATGTACACAGGCAACAAAACAACTAAAAGCACAATGTGGCCAGCGTCACTAGCAGCATTGCTACATTTAGCAAATGCGTTTTTATTTGAAATTATTTTTAATGGTTTGTTAGTCGCATACCTACTTTATAGTGCTTTTTTGTAAAAACCGCATAACGAGGATTCACAAAAAAATTTATAGGGATCAAAGTAGAATACTTTTCCGAAAATCAAACAGCGCCAGCTGAGCCCCCTAGCGGCAACTGTTACAACCTTGTCATTGCCGTGTGACACTGCCACAACTCCTTCTCCGTCGAACCCCCTAGGGGAGATTTACGTTGACGATGTTCAACGGAGTTTGGTGGTGGCCATGTGACAGGGGTATAAAACGCGCGGTCGATAACTGCTCACGGCGTGCGCCTGACTGCCGGAGAATACATTTGGGTGCCGGAATATGCCAGCGTAAAGACGGGCGGAAAAAAGAAATTGAAGAGATTTCCGACAAAAGAAGCGCTTTCATACGTGCATAGCTTGTGCCTGTGGCAAAACGGCGTTCCCGCCTTCGGCTGAGTGCAAAATTTGTTTTCGTTGATAAATTATTTGAAGAAAGACACTCGGGTCATATGTGTGTGTGAAATTGAGGTGTTTTTTACCAATAGTTGTTTTCAATTCAAATAATCAGTCTGCCTGTGCTGGTTATTCACAAAATCCCGGATCAGTTCTCTCGCCTCTTCGCTTCAGTTGACAGTCACGATATGAGAAACAAAGGTCCCGCGATATGCTCTCTCGCCTCGCCACTCGTGATGGGAAAAATCATCAGCGCCCTTCGCACACGCTTCCATTATCTCGCGTTTGAAAAAAAAAAAGACAGGAGAAAAAAAGGTGCGTAGCACCCACGCAAACGACCCATACACGAATTTCGTTTGCTGATTAAAAGAGGCTCACATCATCTTGGGCTGTTTGAAAGTTGTGGTTTCCTCGATCAGGTCGAGGGAGCGAATCCCGGCTGTGGCGGCTGCATTTCCGATGGAGGCGGAAATGCTGTAGGCCCGCGTGCTCAGATTTGGGTGCACGTTAAGGAACCCCAGGTGGTCTAAATTCCCGGAGCCCTCCACTACGGCGTCTCTCATAATCAAATGGTGGTTTTGGGACGTTAAACACCAGATATCTATCTGGTTTCCTCGATAACGGCAAATACATGTTGCTTACCGTGTTGCTTAACATGCTTACCATCACTACTTTTTGCTTTACCCATATTAATGAGGAATAACTGCAGAAACATATTTCTTCACTGCATTTTTCAGCATATTACACTATGCACATCCCAATCACGCATTTCAGTTGGCTATACTCAGGCATGTGAACAAAGTCTCACAGACTGTTCTGTGGCCCCTCCTATGTTACTCAGGCTGCTGTAAAAGTTGTGTTAATATGATGATTTTTAATTAAATAATGCTTAAATTGAAGAATTACTTCTGGTTGTCATTGGTCTCAGTGGCACGTATTACTGGACTTGCTTAAAACGAGCACATCATTATTTCCTACAATAGTGGCTTGACACTAGAACATGAGCCAAATGACTAACTTAAAATATTTCTTGAGTGGCCTGACGCTTTTGTGTGCGTCATTTGACCCTCTTAGAAGTGTTACCTGCAAGATTTCTCTCACTCTCTGAGAAGTGGTAATGTGATGCTTCAAATTAGAGTTATTTCACTCTTCTTTGTAGAGTCAAGCTACTCTCTTACTAGGAGAGTCGAGCTACTCTCTTAGGGCGCACCGACTCTCAGCCACCAAGTGAGTTTTTTTTTTAGAGCTTAGCAGGCAAATATAGCTGACAAACGTTGTTCAATATGTATACTACCCAGTAAGTGTGTCGCCAAGAAAAAAAAAATCACCGCCATATCCACAAAGTGAATTATGTTAGAGGAGCTTGCTCGAAGGGGCACGAGGTGTTTTTTTTTTTTTTTTGGCAAGACCATTTCTGTAAAAAGGCTTGTTAACGAGCCGGGACATGATGTGCACGTCGAAGGCAGCGCTGTCGGGCACGTTCCGCGCTTGCCACTGCACAGTGTTGGCCACGTCGATCAGCACGTTAACCACCTGTCATGCTGGCCGCTGCCGTGAACCAAATTCCGAACGCTCATGAATGGCAGACGTGGACCTATCACGCGTTCTTCAACGGGGTCGAGAGCAGGCAGATAAGAGGGCTCGGGAGAATATCGGTACCCGGGCACAGCACTCATCTTGAGAACTTGTCACGTGCTGCCGTGCCTACGAAGCGACGAGAACCAAGTGGACGTAGTCGTGAGAAGGTGAGTGTGCGGGCCATCGAAAACCGACGCCTATGGTGGCGGTGCTTTATCTAGAGAGCATGGTTGGAATCACCGGGGAGGCGACTGTAGCGGCGACCATAGCGGCGACCGGAGGAGTGTATACTGGCAACACTGGTGTACACGCCGGTGGCCGCTGGACAGGGCGCGAGCTTAAAGCGACACTAAAGTCAAATAACTATTTTATGTCAGAGTACAAGCTCAATGTATGACAACGTCTAAAACGACAATGTTATCAACAGCAGTGCCCTACTTATCTAGAAAGCAAGATATATGCACGAGAACGCATGCGCCGTGAGTAGGACATTCTCAAAATGATCCCGATGACGTCAGACTTTCCTCTTACAATTAATCAATAGTAATCAAACCAGCTGCAATAGATTAAGAACCTTCAGACATCGAGAAACGTAATAAAATGCTGCGTGTTCGTTTCTGTTTGATTCATGAAAAAAATAACCACCGGGCGCTATGGGGAACGGCGCGAGTGGTTCAAAAGTTCAATTTTCGTCTGGTTAAGCTGGATAGGTCGTGCCATCTAGCGGGGCCCAGCTGAGCCAATCATGCCTACCACCTCGGAGGCCATGGCTAAAATTGTTCAACGGCCCTTGTTCCTGTTGTGGCTCCCGCTACTTTCGCTCTGCTGCTACTAGGGTCGGCGACCGCGCAGTAAAGCCGGGCAACGTTGTGCTCGGCCACAGTGACGTAAGACGGCCACTTTCAGGCAGGACACTTGAAGTGCGCTAACAGGATCCGGACCACTAAAACGTTGTTTTATTTCAGCAATAGACATTGACTTATTATTTGCGTTTAGTGTCCCTTTGAGGAGCAGGCGTTTAGTGTCCCTTTGAGGAGAGTCTGTTGTGAGTGAAGACTGGCGACCGAAGCTGTCACAGTGACGAGAGAACATGACAGACAAATTATGCCAAAATAGTTATGCTCTCTATTGCAAGAGCAAAACAAAATGCATTGTCATCCTCTTTCTGTCAGTGCCTGGAAATCGCTTCCGTCGTGATTCCTCGCGGGTAATAAATAAATTATGGATCGGCGCCTTCTCACGCGTTCAAGGTTGTCTAAAAACTCCGCTGACGTGCTGGGAGCAGGGTCGGCCAAACCTATTCGATTTTTTTTAGAAACCACGCGAGTCACCAGCAGCCTCGTACAGTAGAGGGTCCGCGATTTTTGGTACACATTTGAAGCATTAGGCGGGATAAAGGTTCAAAAGTTTGCTGCTTTTGCCGTATATAAGACAGACTGCCATTGACGGAAAATTTGTAAACATACCTGTTACAGAAACAAGGTGTGATTGACGAATAGCAGGCGCTGCGAATTCCGTATTTCCCCTCAGAAGTATGTTTTCGTAGCTGACAGACATAAGGCAGCAGCGTCAACAAATTCCAACCGCTAACGACGGTATGAATTTTTGTATAGCACTTGGTAATTTATTTGCATCAATGCGTGTGTAAAGCGAATACATAATGTACAGAGATCATTGTACTTCTACGTCGTGCGACATGAGTTAATTAAAGCAAACGGCAAGGCCAAAGGGCGTCAGAGAATCGTGTTCTTTCGCTGTATGCAGCTTGACGTTGCGGCACTAATTTAGGAAGCACAGCTCAGTTAAGACGGTATGTCTGGCGCCCACGCATTGATCACCAGTGCCCTTGAAAGACCATCGAGTAAAAATGGTACTGTGTAGCATTTTGCTTTGGTTTTCGGTGGTGCGGATAGGTAAGGAAAGGCTCACTTGTCGAGTACTCACTTTTTGAGGCAGTGAGCGGCTGTGACGAGGTGTTTCTCGGTCAGCATGCTGGCACCGCAGAACGGGAAAGGCTTGGACAGCCCTGTCACGTTCTTCTGCAGGCTGGCCTGCGTTAAGGAGCAAGAGTTTCATTTGCATGAACACAGTGGTTAGATTCAAAACCTTTTTACGTGAACATTTAGTCAATCGAAAATAGATTCGCTATCGTCTCGTTTACTATCTAGTTGCTGAGTTTTATGCATGTCGCGAAGGCATACGACTTGTGTTTCCCAATCAGCTATCATAAGTCATCTGGTATAGTTATTCTAAAGGAGCGACAATTTCTAAGTTATTCTGTGCAAATATTTATGATTAAATTTTTTTCTTGTACAAAACTTCGTTCGGCATATGAACAAAACATAGGTCTAAATGAGAAAATTGTTTCTGTGCGTACCATGAACGGGATAGGTTCACCAGCGTCCCGCCCTCCGACCACCCTCCTGGAGCGGTGCTGTTCCGAGCAAGAGCTCGGACAAACTTTCCCTGCATTGTGAACAAAGGGGGGGGGGGGGGGAGGCTTTGAGTGCAATAGATTTCAAGAGTAACAGTGCGTAAAAAAACTTACAAAGTACTGAGTCCATGGCTTATGGTCACATAGAATTATGGCAGTTTGGGCTAGTTGGTATAACATGACGATAGTTACAGCGCGAGAACAGAACGACGACAAAGGTTTTTCTTCCCTGGCGACAAAGATTCTTCTTGTCTCTTTGTCGTCGTTCTGTTCTCACGCTATAACTATCGTTATGGTCACAGCGGGGGAGCTACAAGTTTTAAGCCCTTCAAGGATGTATGATTTAATTTCGTGGCTTGCTATAGCGGTTGGACATGGGGGCTAAGTACAGTGCAAAAGCCAAATGGTTATTAAGGAGCGTTGATCTTTCTTCAAGGTTTCTTTTTTTTAACAGATTGTGCACCGCCCACATAGCGTGGTGACATAGCATAACTAAAAAGCAGGTACTCCACTGAAAGCATGCACCAAAGCCAACTTGTTCATTTTTATTTCTTTTGTGACCCAGAAGAGCAGATAGTGCCACCAGTGGCTGGAATTCCCCAGTCACGTACATGATACTCCCACGCATATAATTGAGAACTAACAGACAATGATGCCAATAAAACTAAGGGGATGTTGTTAGAAGTAATTCCTAAAGACAAGGAAATAAATGTAAACAAAAATAGAACTTGCCACTGGCAGGATCCTAACATGCGACCTTCTAATAATGTGTACGATTCTCTACCACTGAACTACATCCCCCCGTCCACATTATATACTGCATATGTGCATTGAAACGTGGGAATGTCAGGAAGCGCCGCCTGTTGCCATTTAGACGAGTGTAGGACACTCTTATTGCATGTTAGCGTAACGTCGCACTTGATCGTATTACGCTGGCAACTGGCCAACATGTACATATGCACATACACACCCCATAAAATTAAGGGGGGGGGGGAATAGCCGCCATGGTAGTAGCTCAGTTGGTAGGGAATCGGAGGCGTTACTCGAAGCTCACATGTTCAGTCCCTGCAAGCAGCAAGTTATCGTTTCAGCCACTTTTCATTCTTCGCATTTACATTACAGTTACTTCTAATAACATCCCCCATATTTTACTTGGCATCATTGTCTGTTAGTTCTCAATAACATTCGCTCTAACAAAGTAAACGAGCCCTTAAATTTCAACTACTCCCATGCGTAGATCGTCAAAATAAACAGAGTTAGCTCAGGCTCATGAAGTGCGTATCTTCAGTTTGAAGCTTACCTAGGCTCAGATAATCTGATTAACTATTTCTCATGTTGCTACGTCGGCAGTCGCGGAAACTGGAAGCCATTATAGAAAAGTTGACGGTGCGCTGTCTATGGTTCTGTCGATGTAATGGTTATCTATTTGACGGAATTTCATGCACAGAGACATTAGCTCACCTACACCTTGTCCCAATCTGACCTGGTCTACAAACAAGACACTGGAACATTTAAATATTTATTGTCACACCAAGCCGTGATCGCTCTAGGTCGGGGGCATCTTTCGTCATGCATAGAACCTTTGTGTTTTCTGTGTGTATGTTTGTACTGCCACTGTTCCTTCCTTCATTCCTGTCTTCCCTACTTTTCTGTCTCTCCTTACCCCTTCATCAATGCGAGGTGGACAACCCGATAATTGTTTTCCGGTAGACCTACCTGACTTTTCGCATGTCTCTTTCTCTCTCTATTGTTTGAGACTAGCTCACTCAAGTTAACGGGCTAATGGACTCGGACCAGCTTGTGCTGACTCACAGAACGGGGAATCAGTTATGGAGGCTCAGTCTGTTAGAACTAACAAAAATCACAGCAATTCACCGAGCGAATGATGATGAGTGGGGCTAAGCGTCCGTCAGCCCGTCCGTGCTCCCGTCTGTCCGTTCGCTTTTGGTTCCGTCGGTCCACGCGACCATCCGTCCGTCCGTGGGTCCGTCCATCCGTCTGTCCGTTCGTTCGTGCGTCCATCCGTCTGTCGGTCCGTCTGCTAGTCTGTCTGTCCATTCGTCCATTCTTCCATCCGTGAGTTCATCTAGTGAACACTCCAAGTACCGCCATCTCGCATCTCACGTACCCTGTGGCAAATACTCGCTCTAGAGCGGGTATGTGCCATCGGTGGTTACCTACTACTACTACATACATCGGAGGATGTACAGAATCACGTCTCAAGAAGCTTCTCTCCTAAAAAACAATGGTATTCATATGTGATTTACTAGCACAAGTTGCGCTTCCGTCTATCTAAATAAGCTATTACTTTGATTATTTTTATTCAACTCGCGGAATATTTATTATGCTCTATTCTACTTGAAACATCATGTTGTTGCGATTGACTTACTTGGACTCACTTCCATGTGCAGCTTCACTTATTCAGTTAAGAAAAACAGAAGATCTGGTCAGGATTCAGCGCTCGTTTTCTTGTGTATATTTTTATATTGTTCTTATGTCGCTTACTGCGCTGCTTTGAAGATCATACTCACGGGGCGACTCGGTGACCGGCTTCAGACTTACGGACCCACTTCGTCAGGCTCACACTGCCTTCGTATCATAAAATATTCCTTGACTTCAAGTTTTTCCTGTATCTCACCGACTTGAACACAGTCACCCCGCAAGAAAGCAAAAACGTAGCACTTGTAAAGAATTGCCGCTGAGAGCCATTGAAGTGCAGTGATCACTTTTGGCCAAGGTCCACGCTGCCGCCATCTATATTATCAATGCAAGCTGAAGCATCGAGTGGGGGGATATTCTAGAATACGATGTGCCCACGGTAGGATCATCTTTGGCTGACTCAGGCTCCAACTGACAGGTGGCTCTATAGGTATTGAGCCGATTCATAATTGGGTTAGTGGGCGTTGCTTGATTTATTTATTTTTTATTTATTTATTTATTTATTTATTTATTTATTTATTTATTTATTCATGTGTGGAGTTGAACGGCCCAAAACCATCATATGATTACGAGAGACTCCATAGTGAAGAGTTCCGGAAGCTTCAACCACCTGGGGTTCTTTAACGTGCACCCAAATCTGAGCACACGGGCCTACAGCACTTTCGCCTTCTTCAAAAATGCAACTGCCACAGCCGGGATTCGATCCCGCGACCGATGGGTCAGCAGCCGAGTACCTTAGCCACTAAACCAGCGCGGTGGGGCTTTGCAGGCGTTGTCGTGCATATACGCTTGAATCACTGGGCCCACATGGCGTTCCAACGTATTTTACCGTGGTTTTAGACGCTGGGTAATTATTTACCAAGTAACATTTTCTTTTTACCTTCAGACATGAAAAATGCTGCTATTCGCGCGAATTACGTGACTGTCCAGTCTATTACGCAAAGCGCAATAGATTGGACAAAATAAGTGAGGCACCCAGAACAATGGTGAAGGCTGATTGGAAAAAGTTCCTTTAGGCAAGACAACACGCGCACGCGTCCAATACCCTCCGAAAAAGAAGGGAATGACACCCTCCCACTTTTTTAGTGCTGTTTGCGTGCTGTCTCGAGCAAATACGCGACTGTCTTGCTGAAGCGAATCTTTTTCAATACACATTCACATAGCCCCGCCTTATGTTGTCTTGTCAATTGCGCTTATCACACAGTTGTGCATCACCCAGCAGCCAACATTCAATCCTTTTCAATTGTTGCGTGCTTACGAAATTGTGGTGCGGGAAAGAGACACGTAATGTAAATTAGGAATTTGGAGTTGAATTCAGAGGCTGCACAATACAAAACGATACGTGCAGTATTGCAGTACCGTCGCGCCTTCTCATGCTCGTGATCGTGCGCGTGGCCTTCAGTAAATCACAAACAGTTGGCGCTGAGGTCGCGCTGGCTTTGTTGGTTTGCCTCGCTTACAAGGCTTGCATGACGCAATAGATAATGACGCTGGCGTAACCAGAGGGTGGGGTTGAGAAGATTAAGGGTGGGGGTGAGAAGATTAACAGACAACACAAGCGCTTGTGTAGTCTTATTACTCCGTCTCAGTCCCGTTTTCGCACTCTGCACTCTCCGCATCCTGCACCAACTGCCCTTTCAAGACAACTTCTGCAATTTGCATGTTTTCATCAGGACCCACAAATACAAATGCACGGGCGAACATACGTCAAGTATGATTGCACCCCCCCCCCATATATATTTTTTTTCTCCACTCAATAGTAATGAGTGTCAAAGTCATAAATTGTTCCTTTCTTTTGGCACATCCTCCGGCCTTATTCTCTACTCTGGGGTTTTATTGCTTCACATCTGTTGTGTGTGTGTGTGTGTGTGTGTGTGTGTGTATGTATGTATGTGTGTGTGTGTGTGTATGTGTGTGTGTGTGTGTGTGTGTGTGTGTGTGTGTAAGTGTGTGTGTGTGTGTGTGTGTCTGTGTGTGTGTGTGTGTGTGTGTGTGTGTGTGTGTGTGTGTGTCCTCAATATCACTGTGCTACAGAGGGCAGTGGGTAAAAGCATACATAAATGAACAACAACACAGCAAAAGTGGTCAGGTTTTTAAATTAGGGAGCAAATGCGTGCGCAGAAATCCCCTTCAGGAGGGAGAGCGATGGTTTGTCGCAACGCTCTCCACCCCCACCCCTATGTTGGCAATGTATGCGGAAGACTTTGCGCCTCTTCCTCTCAGGTGACAATATGGCCGAACAAAACTTTGAGTTGTCTTTCACAGCATACAACTGCGCCGTTTCCCTTCCGTCTTGAATAAGTGGATCGTGGCATTGAACTGTTCCGACACCTCTGGCTATCTTCGATCATGCGGGGTGAAATGTAGGTAGATGACGTGTGATTATCGCGCTGGTCAGAATTCTGGAAACGCGGTTTGCGCAACATTACAAGGCGATAGCCCTCACATCAGGCTGAAAGTGGACCAAGTGCAAAGTTTTTCATTGACCTACGCTTGATGTGTGGCTATAAATGCTAGAAAGGAAACGCGTGGCATTGTTTCAGAACAGTTCAAATGATTAGACATAACGGTTTTTTAACATTCATCCCAGATG